GTAAGCCTATTGGTTTATGTCAAGTTGTCATGACAAAGACATCTCAAACTGTCATATTCGCATTAAAAATACCATAATTGAGCAAATAACATTTAGTGACAGCTATTATACATGCATAAAACCACCTTAATATTAATGACATGCGTCATGTCATGATTATAAAGGTGTCATTATGTCATTGTTATGAATATGAATCCTAAATATTCTTAATCTTATCATTTTGCCCCTCCAAAATCAACACAGGATTTAACATGTGATAAACTATGATCAGTCTATGTTACATTGACAAGTTGAGGTACACTTGTTAACAGTAGTTTGCTATGCAGGCAACAAATATTTCATAATAACAACACCGGTAAAGGAGAAATAAAATAAAATGTAATTTAATTCATTAATTTTTGAACAAGGGCAATGCAATACATTAACCTTAAAAAGGAGAGATGCATTTGCAGGTTGTACTAGCACTTAAGTGCTAATTTCCACCTGATTTTCCTAATCGTTTTAAAATAAAAAAATAAAAGTTGTGTAAGCATCTCATTCAACTGCGAAACAAAGAAAACAAAGTTAAACGTTAGCTGTCATGCATTAGCTCGTTCAGTTCGGTAATAATGGCAAAGACAAAAGTGTCATTTTGCAGCCAAATCAGAAAATTGCACCCGCGATTTACATTATAAAACGTTTAACAAGTCAATCGTTTACTTATATGATGTTAAACAAACACAATTTCACCACAAATAAACAAAAAGTGTTTAATATAGTACTTACACTTGAAAACTCCATACAGTGGAAAACTCCCGCGTCTCCGGTTTCCGGCATTTTCAAATATAACGACAACTCCTCCTCTCCCGTGGCATCATGGGATAGTAAGTGTCCATCGTATGCGCACTTCAGAATCTCGCCGGAAGTAGTAGGCCATCCGGGTACTTCTCGCATACTGTTTTTCGAATTCATGAATTCGGACATATACTACTCTGCTCGCGTAATGGCTGCGTTCCAAACCGCATACTTCCCTACTATTTAGTATGGGAAAGAGTATAGGCGAGCAAAAAAGTATGAATGAATCCAAAAGAGTAGGCGAGAATTACCTGGGTGACGTAGTAATTGTCGCGAGATTCGGACTTAAGTGCGTTCCAATATGCCTACTTTCCTACTATATAGTAGGCGAAAACAGTACGTGAAGGAAGCAGTACGTTCGAAACATCAGTTTTCATAAAAAGAGTACGCGAGAAGTTCCCGGATGGCTTACTGCTTCCGCCCAGATTTTTGAGTGCTTTTCCACGGCTACTCATGATACTCATCTATCCCAGGAGGCCACGCGAGAGGATACGTCAATGCACATAGCTTGCAAACTGCCAATAAAAATCACAGAAGAAGAAGAAGAAGAAGAAGAGAGGATACGTCAATATCAACATCGCGGAGATAAGCGACGCGGGGGTTTTCAAATGTGAGTAAATACGGTTTAAATCGTATGTGTTAAACTACTATAGAGTAAACGTTTTAACTGTTGAACGTCTAAAGGAGTTAGACAGTATAGTATAGTTGTGATTTTGCTGTAAACACATGTTTTATTATGTATAGCTAACAGGGGAGCTCCAGTAACCGTAAAGTTACGTTTCCAACGTGTATTTACATAACCATACATCTTAAATACGCTTATTTAAAATGTCTATTTACATCAGGAAGGAAAATATTGTATAAGTATTGCAGGTGAGCACATCCCAACATGAAAAATACATGTGTGTGCTTATTATGTAGGATAATTCTGTTGTCAACACTGCTTACATTAGACAAATTATGTGCTGTCAATAAAAACATCTATAAAGTAACTAAACATGATATATATTTAATTTGTCCCTTATTGGTGTTGATATATTGAGGAACATTTAAGTTGGATTAAAAGTGAGTTAACACATCAACCTCAGCATGTAAATGCAGTGTTGAGCTCGTAATGTGAATCTTGTCTGTATGTTACAGGGACAGGAGAACACGCGTGTGTTTATCCGGTGGAGAGAGGCTCATGATGCTGAATGCTGTCATCAATGAATGGGAACCGCTGTGTTGAGTCGGCAGTAGGGTTTGGGGTTCAGTGCCTGTAAATACATGCTTGTAGTTTGAATAAAGCTGTTTCATGTGTTGACTTGTATATGCATTTGTTTATTGTGATGGTTACTTTTATTTGTTCTTTTACTCATTTATTCATGTTTCTTATTGCTGTCAGTATATAAAATGTAATTAATTTATGCATTAATTCATCGATTGACTGACAATTGAGATGTTTCACTGCATTTAGCAATATAAATGAATTCATGCATTACTGTCATATTACAAAACAAATTACATTTTGCTTGTTTTATTAAATTATATTTTTAGTATATAAAAAGTTATACAAGTATTGGTCAGCATTTAATATTATTATTTTGTTTAAGTTTTGGGGTGGGCTAACAATGAAATTCATTCTGAGGTAATATTAATTTTTTAAGCAGTGATACTTACATTTTTTGAGTATAAAATCAACAGTTTTCTCCAAAAGAGATCTTCAAGCAGCTGCCCGTCTCCTTTGTGCACACATTACAAACGCTGTTCTAGGTTGTGCTGTGAAGTTACTGATGTTATGAAGTCTTAGAGCACCTGTCGCTCATATAATTTAAACTTATTATATGCAAGATCATGGAAAGATACTATAGTTTATGTAACAATCATAGTGACAAAACAGAAAATATAAAGATCATTGGTTTGTGTACATCATAATATGACATAAAATTATATTTATACACAGGAAATAAGAACAATAAAAAAGGCTAAATATCTTCATTATAGTTCTTTATAATACATAAAAAAGTTGTTGTTATATCTAAGGGGTGAAACGAGGTAAATTCATGAAGAAAAAGAGGAGAAACTTTTTGGGTATAAAATAAAGAAATTAACAACATAATCAAGAGATGATGATTTTGGGGTTTCTTAATAAAAAAAAAATATCGTTAGAATAACACTGTTGTTCACATTAGTAGGGTTTAAAATATAACTTAAATCAACCCTAAATGTATTCACAAAATAAATAGGCAGCTGTTTCTTCAACAATACCACAACAAAATGAGCAAGTTTCATCAATATCAAGATATTTATAGGTAGATTAATTAAACGTATCGTTCATATTTTTTTATTGCATGAAGGTGTTGCGCTTCTGATAACGCGTAGTAGGTCACATGATAACGTCAACATGGCAGATGTCCGGTTCGCATTCATACTCAACGAGATTTGGCTATAAAGTACCTACTCTTTTAGCGCTCGATGAGTAAGTACTTATTGAAATTAAGTACCTACTCATTGAGTATGCGGTTTGGAACGCAGCCAATGTTTTTCGCATACTATTTAGTATGGAAGTACGCGATTTCGGACGCAGCCTAAGTCTATGGGAACACTCTGGGCGATTCTCAGCCAGAGTGAAATCGCCCAAAAAGAGGCGGTACTCCACAGAACGTGACACGACGCTGATTGGACTATATCCAGTGACGGCTCTCTGGTTGAATGAGATTGCGAATGTGATTCACACTTTGGTGGTGCGTCGCCCAATCGCCCTAATGAAGAAACCGCCCCTGTTCAGTACCATACGGTATTAGTGTAAAGAAACTACACCATCAATTTACAGTGTTGTCGAGGCCATACACTTCCATACCGCAGCATGGCGCTGTTGAGCTGCTCTCAACCATCAGAGCTGCTGTAAAACCTGTCATCCTGACAACTTCACTTTCAACTCCACAGTGGATGTGTCCTGCAGTATTCTTGGATTTTTATAGTAGTTGTTGAAGATATAGGGTTCAAACTGTATATCAAGCAATTGTTACATGCATCTAAATATCCTGCAGGGTAATATAGGGAGAAAAAAGGGTTTTGCTTGTATTACATCAGACACACAAAAAAGGTTATTTTTTGTTGTTATGTGGATTCGTGTTTGGCATTAAAGTCACTGCAGTCATTCACATCTCACAGTAGGAAGGATATAGTTAATTGAGATATATGAAAATCTTCATAGATTTAAGAATTTATGAACATAAATTTTTGGCATCATAGATTTATGAAGATCATGATATTTATGAGGTCATTAGGATAAAGGGCAATGAAGTGGTTGAAGGATCAGCAAAAACAGGCTTTGGAAAATCTATCTATCTATCTATCTATCTATCTATCTATCTATCTATCTATCTATCTATCTATCTATCTATCTATCTATCTATCTATCTATCTATCCATCCATCCATCCATCCATCCATCCATCCATCCATCTATCTATCTATCTATCTATCTATCTATCTATCTATCTATCTATCTATCTATCTATCTATCTATCTATCTATCTATCTATCTATCAAAACCATCTATCCATCCATCCATCCATCCATCTATCTATCTATCTATCTATCTATCTATCTATCTATCTATCTATCTATCTATCTATCTATCTATCTATCTATCTATCTATCTATCTATCTATCTATCTATCTATCTATCAAAACCATCTATCCATCCATCCATCCATCCATCTATCTATCCATCTATCTATCTATCTATCTATCTATCTATCTATCTATCTATCTATCTATCTATCTATCTATCTATCTATCTATCTATCTATCTATCTATCTATCTGTCTATCTATCTATCTATCTGTCTGTCTGTCTATCTATGTGTCTGTCTGTCTATCTTCTATCTATAAAAATGTTTAGATCTCTGTCTGTCTGTCTGTCTGTCTGTCTGTCTGTCTGTCTGTCTGTCTGTCTGTCTGTCTGTCTGTCTGTCTGTCTGTCTGTCTGTCTGTCTATCTATCTATCTATCTATCTATCTATCTATCTATCTATCTATCTATCTATCTATCTATCTATCTATCTATCTATCTATCTATCTATCTATCTATCTATCTATCTATCTATCTATCTATCTAGTCCACACTCCAAAACAATAGATGGCGATAATGTACCTTCACGTTGGTGTCACCCGCTATAGACCGAAGAAGAAGTTCACTTTCAGCCAAATTAATATCAAATTTATTTACACGGCAAAATAAAAAAATAAATAAAAAAACATATGTCTGGAGCCTTGAGAAGAAGGTGTGCTGAAGATTGTATTAGTCCGTTAGTGTGCTGAACGGTATTTATTAGTAGCGGTATTTATTAGTATTTATTAGTAGCTGGCTAGCCTAGCTAGCCTAGCTTTGTGTACAGTGCTAGCTCTGTTCAAGCTCTGTTCAAGCAGCTTTGCCTGTGACAGTGGCTTTATAGAAAAGCTTTGAAACTGTAGAGTTCATCTTAGCGGCCTGGCATCATCATATGTGATCTCAAATTTACTGTCATTTGGCTGAAAGAGTTGTGTTTATCCCTGTGCTACAACATCAGTATGGGTATGTGTTTACCCTGTCTGGGTGGAGCTGGAGATGATGTAGTTGTCACACCAGACCCTGTGAGTACTTTTAATAATATATTTATGCGTTCATTTACATTACATATTTAACCGTGTTCATCTTTCAAGTGTTATAATTTCCTAGACAGCCTAAAGTGAACCCCAACTTCGTTATAATGATAGTGACATGAATGAGATAATGACCTGCACATTTTGTGGTCGTGAGGATAAAACGGGTTATTATTACTGTTATTTATTTTTTATTTTTTGTTTGTGAAGTGTATGGAAAGTATATGGAATTTGTCCTAATTTCTTCAATTTTTTTTATCCATAAAATATAGTTTTGGGGTACATACTGTCTCTCACATGTTTTTATTTATTTTTATTTAGGCAGACTAACTTTTCAAATATATTTGTTTAACTAGGACTAGTAGTTCAAAAATGTGTCAGGTTCCTGAATGAATACTATTGATAATGTTTAGCCTGGTTTTCCCTGCTTGTCAATGTTGTCCATTTGATTTATTTACTTTTAATGAGTATTTTTTTTTAAATCATATCTATTTCTTTATATTTACATTTTATTAATTTATTTGTGCAGGATCATTTCTGTTGAGAGAGAGAGAGAGAGAGAGAGAGAGAGAGAGAGACAGAGAGAGAGAAATAATATAATTTTAGTTTGTCAATGATTAATAGTATTTTTTTAAAGAAATTTATAAATAGGCATCTTTATAGGGCCTCACTTTAGTTGTTTGTGGAGCTTGACAGACATTTAGGTGATTTTGAAAACATTTTTCTTTTTTTTCTTTTTTTCCACAGGAGACAAGGAGAAGACAATTAGCAGACGCTGCAGAGAAGAGACAGAAAGAGGTATGATTTCCAAACTTTTTTGTTTAAGTTAAACATTATATGATTATATAGGGGAACGTGTATACCATTCAAGTTAGTGTAACTTAAATAGTCCTTTATCCTGACCAATAAATGTACAATTCCATAAAAACTGCATTCATGAGAAACAACAGTTCACAAACAACCACTCGACAATAAACACTTTAAATTTCACTTTATAAAAGAACTTTAGAATTATGCATTAAACAAATTGAGCTTAAAATGACCACAAAATGGGGTAAACATGCCTTATGTTGGAAATACTATTGGAAATACTATTGGTGAATTGTGCTTCAGTGGAGCTCTATTATTAATGGATCAGAACAAACTCCTGTCATCATCACCAGCTCTGACCCCAGTAGATTGTTCGTCACTGAGGCATTACACATTTACAGCCACTATCACAATATAAGATCAAATTCATATATTAATAATCTAACAGGTCTCAGTAGCACCACATTCATTACAATAACAGGGCTCGACATTAAGCCTTTTCATGTGCTCTCCTTCACACAACTAAATATGTTTACTTGCCAGAGTAAAAAAGTTTAATATAATTAGTTGTAAAGAGATACATGTATGGAATATTCCATAGACCCATGTGTCACTTTACAACAAATCGGTTTTGTTATACTCGTCCTCTCATTACCTGCTCCGCATCGTTTTGCTTTTATTCATTCTTCTTCAACCTTTCAAGGAGAGAAATAGGGATCCCATTTGAGATCCTTTTTAAACATCCAGTGTTTTATGCCGTAGTGATTTTAGTTTCGCCACATGTAATTGGAGGGCTATTTCACTGTCTCTCAGAGGTTTAAGGGAAAGCATAGGCCTAGATCTGCTAAAGCGTCACGGTAAGTACTCGTTCTCCTTCCACACTTCTGGACGCATCCTACAGCTGAAACACACGGCATTGGTTCTTACTGCCGCTGGAATCTCACAATGCTTGTGGCCGTACAGTTCTTTTTTTTCTGCTAGCATAATGCTAGTACTTCGTCATTATAATTAAGTCCCATTACCTCTGTTACTGTAGAATTTATTAGTATTATAAAGTTTGACTCGTGAAAAGGTTCATTTTGAGTTGATGTGAGCCAGTGAGTGAGTTGTAATCGAACCACTGAACTACTGCAAGACTACAACTATAATACCACCACAATATATATATTTATTAGGGCTGTCAGTTAAACGTGTTATTAACGGCGTTAAGGCCGTGTGTCCACCAAAGCGTTTTTAGCCAGCTGAAGCTCTGCTGAAGACGCCGTGCTTTGGGCGCTTGAGAGCGTTTTGGCAGCGCAGCGTTTTTTTCCGTTGAGACGTTTCGTTGCTATGATACAGAATATCCGCAGCAGATTGAATGTTGACAGTTGGTCGGTGTGGTATTAGTCCCGCCCCTCCTCCACTGTGATTGGACGGCTGGGTAAAAAGTGACAGTGATGAGCGCTGCGTTTTATCCAAAGTTGAACATTTTTCAACTCCCAGCGACCAGTAAAAACACCGGGCGTTCGGCGCTTCAGCGTGAAAAAACCGCTCAGCGCCTCGGTGGCCTTCATGGCGTTTAAAAAACGCGGCGCTCCCATTAAAAACAATTGAAAACATACGCCAGGCACGTGTAAAAACGCTTTGGTGGACACACGGCCTAACGCAAACCCATTTTAACGGCGGTAATTTTTTTATCACGCGATTAACAGTCTTTTTGGCCTAGCAAACTTTGTCGTTTTTTTTTTCATATGCTTTTGCAATTGCTGCGCTATTAAACCCATTTATTTCAATAGCTTGCGCCGCACGAGGATGTTTTTTTCTTTCTTCGCCGACCAAAGCGCAAGCAGATCTAGCTAGACCTGAAACAAAACAACAGGCACACTCATTTGGGCTTGTGAGCCGGCCAAATAGTTGGTTAACGTGACGTTTTGAGTGGATGACGAGCGCGAGACGCCGAAGTGGATGCCAATAAGATTCTGAATGGAAAGTTTATTTTTAAAAAGTTGCCAAATTCAATAAAAAACATTTGCGCAAAGCAAGCCGATCCACTTTTGCATGTTGATCATTAGAGCATTAAAATGAGAAAAAAATGATGGGACAAAAATAAATCAAGAGATATTTAGAATAGAAAAAAAGTGTGCGATTAATTGCGAGTTAACTATGTCATTGATGTGATTAATCGCAATTAAATATTTTAATCGTTTGACAGCACTATATATATATATATATATATATATATATATGAAGAGTTTAGATGCAAAAGCCTCTAAATGCCATTTGAAATTTTCTTCTTTAATGATGATTTTTATCAAACTTGTATATTTAAGTTCAGTAAATTCACTTAAATGGCAATGATAATTACCTATTAATTGTTATTTAAGTGAAATTACTGAACTTAAATATACAAGTTTGATAAAAATCATCATTAAAGAAGAAAATTTCAAATGGCATTTAGAGGCTTTTGCATCTGAACTCTTCATATATATATATGTATATATATATGTCATTGGCTAGTTATATGTCATTGATGTTATTGTAGACCCATTTTAGTTTTTGCACACTGCACGTTTCCAGCTTGTCTAAGGTGCACCAGGAGTCAGCACGCGAGCACTGAATAATATCACACACTTCAGCTACTAGTTCATGCCTTGATTCATTTGTGAAATTTGCTATTGTTCTTACTGAATAAGTGTTTGGGTAACAAGTATGGCGTGGTAGCTGTATTTTGTCTGATGTTTGTGTAGATTACCTACAGAGGTATCAAAAACCCGGAAGCCTTGGAGAGGAAAAAGAAGAAACAGGAAGAAACAGAGAAACAGACCATGAACTCTGTTCCTGCTGGAGGCGGGGGGCTGAGGGTAATCTATAAATTCATTTATTTATTTTTGCATAGCACAAAGTCATTTAACCAAAAGTCTGTATCACTTCTGTAGTCTTTAATTTAAAATACAATTATAATTATATTTTGACATAAATCAATATTCATTTTTATAAAACGCTCTACTGTTGGCATCAGTTTTTTTATCTAATTAAAATGAATATATTTATTCAGCAATGATGTTAAATTGATTTAAATTGATCATTGATCATCATTTACAAAAGATTTCTACATTAAATGCTGTTAATTTGAACTTTCTCTTACAGTTTACACTTAAATATTAGGCAGCACAACAGTTTTCAACAGTGATAGTAATAAGAAATGTCAAATCAGCATATTTGACTGATGCGACACTGAAAACTAAATAACTTTCAGGATCCAGGATTTAATTAAAAACATTTATATATGTTTTTTTTTTAATTCTAAAAAATAAATGATCCAACGGATTATAGCCAATCCGAACTAAATACATGAAAATACATCTCTAATATAATAAATAGAAAATATTTGATCTAATATTTGGGTTGGCCTTCTGAGACCTTCTCTCACTGATATCTGATGATTAATTCCCCACTGAATGAGAAAAGTAAGGTTGTGTTCTTCTCTGCAGTGGCAGGTTGGCTAACACCGGCTGAAGGGACGATCACTGGTGTGTCTACATTGGGGATCAGCCTTGAACCTTCATCTGGAGTATTTCCCGCTGACTTGAGATTCTTAAAACTCTTTGTGATTTCTTTCTTTATTTTGAAGTGTACACTAGCCAGGGGAGTTTGCATAGAGACTGCCAAGCTCTTGCACAAAGCTAATCCTCCAGCTCTTCTGATTCGCCAGAGTGCATTCAGGCCACGCCCCTTTAATGCCAAGTTGGGCTAGCTTGTGGGTTCCTGCGATACCGATTTTAGCGAATAATGCATTTTTTCACAAGTTCATGCATCATTTTCACACGCAGCTTTTGTACCAATGTGCTCTCTATTTTTGACATTTTTTTCACTTTAATACACATTTATACAACCGAAAAGCATGTTTTATATTGGATTTTGGGTCATTTAATCCATATTTAGCCGTTTACATTTAAGCATCAGTTACCAGTGTGTTTTGGTTTTCAAGCTCATAGGATTTTTCAATGAGCAAGTGGGAAATGTTGTGATATTTAAGAGTGAAGAAGTTAAACGTGAATGAAGGATTTCTGTTAGTTAGCACTTTCACTGCCTGTTGATTGTATGACTTGCTGTTCTTATGAACCAAGTAGATTGTGCATCACTTTATCTTATTAGACCTCAGTTTCTTACCCTGTCTGAAGGGCTTTGGTTGTGTAAAGGTAAGAAAATCTTAACTTGCATTTAAACTCAACCTCCATATTTGTGGGCCATGCAACAGTGACATGATATGACTTGTTAATTACCAGTATGTAGCAGCCTGAGCTATTGTGATTAGTGTGAAATATGTTTTATCTATAGGAACTTGGAGTGAATTCTTCATATTGCCTTTGATGCATTTCTTTTTAAGAAACCGTTTTAAGTTGTGTTAAAGGAATAGTTCACTTTAAAAAAAACAAACAAAAAAAAACAACTTTTGCTGATAATTTACTCACCCCCATGTCATCCAAGATGTCCATGTCTTTCTATTTTCAGTCGAAAAGAAATTAAGGTTTTTGATGAAAACATTCCAGGATTTTCTCCATATGATGGACTTCAATGGGAACCAAACGGTTCAAGGTCCAAATGAGAGTTTCAGTGCAAACTGTTCAAAGAGCTTTAAACGATTCCAGACGATGAATAAGGGTCTTATCTAGGATCCTTCAAGTCATGACTCGAAAAAAGATTCGTTCATTTTGATGAACGAGTTCGAACAGGAGAGTCACAAATGCTCATCACAGAACAGTAAGGCGACCATTTGAGCTTACCGGTATAAAACTTCAACTTAAAAACTTTTTTATTAATTTTTTAAATGAGCGATCGTTTCGCTTGATAAGACCCTTATTCATCGTCTGGTGTCGTTTAAAGCCCTTTGAACAGTTTGCACTGAAACTGTCATTTAGACCTTGAACCGTTTGGTTCCCAATGAAGTCCATTATATGGAGAAAATCCTGGAATGTTTTCATCAAAAACCTTAATTTCTTTTCGACTGAAGAAAGAAAAACGTGGACATCTTGGATGACATGGGGGTGAGTAAATTATCAGCAAATTTTTTTCTTAAAAGTGAACTACTCCTTTAAGTTGTGTTAGTGAGTTGTTACCTCCGCCTACAGCAATCACACTCTGTGCTTGTGACAGGAAATCGATTTGCACCAAATAATCAACAGAATATCCTCCCAAGTGTCTTTCAGAAGGGGATATTAAAGGATTTATTTTTTTTAATTTTATTTATTTATTTTTTTTACAATCATTGGACTCAATAGTTAGGTCACTTTTCAAAACTCTCCACACAGTGAGCACAGCATCAGTCCATCATGCATCATTGCTTCGGTACGAAATGCAATCAACGACAAACATCTCAAACAATACTCTATGCCCCTATGCTTACACTCTTTTCAACATTGTTTAAAGCCTAACATGATATGAAACTAAATAAGACTGCGTATCTAGTTATACAATATTGGATATATTCCAAATCTAAAAAATAAACTACTCAAAACGATTTGATGTTGCTGAACACACAGGTTTTAGTTTTTCCATTTCAGCAAATCTAATAAAGGGGAAAACTTGTGTAATTCTTGTTTTGCAAAGAAGATTCTTGTCTTTAGAAAAGAAAACATTGTATAATACTACATATTGTTAGTGTTTTTGATGATTGCTTTACGAGTGACCGTGTGTTTGCTGGGTGGAAATTTTGAGGCGAGCTGATTTGAGACGTATGAAGTGTTTTTGGTAGGTTTAGAGCATTTTTTATGTAAAATTTACTGCTGAGCTGAAAGTTGCCAAAGAGAACTGTGTGAAGAGTTTTGAAAAATACATGGGTCCTACAAATTGTAAAAAAAAAAAATAAAAAAAAAATGTAACTGTATGATACTACAATAAATCAGACAAAGTACTGCAACGTTCATGTTTACCAATTGAGGGCAGTGACACACTTTCAGACCAGGAACTGTTTTAGAAGCACAACTGCAAAGAGTCATTGCTTAAATAAAGATTGTTTGATTCAAAAAAAAATCTCGTCTTGTAATTACTCACTCAGACCTCTTGCACTGCTACTATACTGCAAATAACACTCAGTGCTCTGTTCACTCGGTTAAACCTTGATTCAATGAAGAGCTGGAAATAGGGATGGGACGGTATGAAAATTTCATATGACGATTATAGTGTCCAAAATAATCGTGATTATCAATATTATCACGGTTTTGTTAAAAAATTATGAAAGTGCTCAAAAAGAACTGATTTTTTTATGAACAAGTTTTATAATTGAAAATCAACAAACAACAAATAAAACAAGCCTCTCTATGCAGTTTTTTAAGCTTCTTTATAATGCCCGTCGTCAATAGCAACGCATTATTACACAGCGCACATCCATATCACAACGGACGCGCGCTCTTGTTTCATTCAAATACAACTTGCCGTCTTGCATCTCCGGTTTTTGATTGTATTGCAAAAATGAAATCAGAGTTGATTTATTGCTTACAGAGTTTGATAATATTGGTGTGATATAACTTGTCTGGACGATTGTTTTACAAAATGAATTCATAAACAGGTAAGATTTAAAACATTAGCTAATCTCATTATCAATTTAATATGTCCCCGTAATTATGTGGTAAAAATAAAATTGGTTTAACACATGATGTATCTATACTTTACTATCCCTTAAAATATCACTCTTAATAATAGTCTTGTTTGAAGTTGTTCGTTCGTCTTTAGCTCAAATCCACTTGCTACGAACTTTTCTTCGCGGAAGCTTCACGTCTATTTCAAGTGAGTGACATATAATGTTTCAACTCAAAACAACATTTCGTGCCCAATTGTTTCCCAGACGTAGTTTTGGTATTAAGGTCAAAGTTAACTTGCCTTGAGTTCGGGTGATGATCACACAAGACGACTCGGCAGATTTGAAGTGTTTCTATTGCAGTGACTTTTTGTTCGGCAGACAGGGTGCATCCTCGATCAAGTTTCCCTCAGGACTTTTGTAAAACCCAAAATATGACCACACCTCAGATTTGGCCCTCTTAAAAGGTTGTAAAATCTCCTGAGCACGGTCACTGCCTTCCACCATTCCTTCTTGAAGAGTAATTTAAAAAAAATATTGCGTGCTGCGCGCCTGCGTCAGACTGGCCGACAGGATTCAGTGAGTTATTAAAATCGTGATAATCAAACACGGTTTTAATGATAATTAAATTTTAAACGATAATACTAACCGTCAGTACATTTTATCACGTTTTATCGTCCCATCCCTAGCTGGAAATAAATCCTTGGGAATTCGAAGTGCTCTATTATTACACTGAATGCATGTTTGAGTTTCCTCCTTGTAATGTGTCTTCAGGTGTGTTCTTCTGCATTGCACTGTTGTGAAGTTTCCAGTCTGGCTATTCTTTGACTCTTTCACTGGATGGTCTCAGGAGATCAGCAGTTTCTAAATCCACCATTGCAAGGTCACATGACATTTCTTCCTACTCTGATGTTTGGCAAGAACAAAAGCTGAACCTCTTGATCATGCCTTCATGCTTTATGGGTCTATTCAGCCACATGATTGGCCGATTAGATTCCATTCTCCAAAACAGCAAGGCCATAACATTTAAACACAATAAATGCCAGAAAATATATATCATGACATCAAAAGATAATAATAGTACCCCCATACACATTATTAATATTGTTAGCAAATGAAGCACTGAAAGGAATAGCCAGTGCAGAAGTGAATATTTGAATTCATCCAGCGATTTCATTTGACAAACATTCCAGTTCGCTCAGTATCTTAGTTATACATTGTCCAACTAGCTGATCTACACTGTCATTGTTGTGTGTTAAAATTAGTTTTCTCCTTTAAGCACTAGTTAGTTTTACAAGCCAATGGAAGTTGGCATGTCCTACAACTAGCCAGTGAGCTGTGTTTCAGTTACATTAAAAGTGTTTGTTTCATTAGTACATTTCTTCTTTACTTCTTGCTTTTGTAGTGGGCCGCCACTACCAGGTAGCTGTCAGGCGCGAGGTCTTTGATGTTTGGGGATTTTCCAGAGATGGGCGAGATCTTGCCTTCGACACGCGAGATCTGGAGCATGCGGCATGGGTCGTGCTTTAGCAGGTAGCTCTCAAACGTCTCCCAGCCTCCACCAACACGCACCATCACATGTTTATTATGCAGCATCTGAGGAGACAGAGAAAAAGAGGTTAGAGATACACATCCCTAAGTTGGTTGGTTAAGTTTGACATCCCAACATATACTGCACTCTATGCAAGTATTAGCTAAAAGCTTGTCATACGTTGGTACTGATTGGATTAGCACGTTTGTGCAAGATGACTCGCATTCATCAGCAGAGATGAATTTAGACGCAACTCATCTAAGTGTAAAAACGTTTTGTTGTCCATTACATGTTACTTCTCCCAAATGAAATAACTTTGGATGTTTTGAAGCAAAAAATGGATAATGGATAAATAATAACACATGGATTGAGCTACCACAGAACTTGGAAAGCCCCTATTAAAGACTCCTGCGTTCAGTCTTTAAGATTAAAGGACAAGTTTGGTATTTTAAACTTAAAGCCCTGTTTTAAGATTTCTGATAAAATAGGACTGTTAAGAATGAAATTTGGACATAAAGTCTTGGCCCAAGAGTTTTCAGTTTCTGTGGCCCCCACCTCCACAATGTTTGCACAGGTGCACTGGAACAATCCTTCATAAAATCCAAAACAATCCTTTGCTGCAAAAGATGCTTTCCAACAGGTTTTAACTCGGACTTGGACAAAAACTACGATAAAACCTGTTGGAAAGCATCTTTTGCAACGATTTTTATGTGAGCATATCAGTGAACACCTCAGACCACTCGGTGAGTTTCTCTTTGGTCTCGGTCTCTCGAACTCGACTCTCTTTGGTCTCGGTCTCGAACTCGATTCTCTTTGGTCTCGGTCTCGACTCGACCCTCTATGGTCTCGGTCTCGACTCGGACTCGACTCTCTTTGGTCTCGGTCTCGACTCGGACTCGACTCTCTTTGGTCTCGGTCTCGACTCGGACTCGACTCTCTATGGTCTCGACTCGTACTCAAATCTCTTTGGTCTCGGTCTCGACTCGGACTCGACTCTCTTTGGTCTTGGTCTCGACTCGACATGGTCTCGGTCTTGACTCTCTTTGGTCTCGCCTCGGACTCAACTCTCTTTGGTCTTGGTCTCGACTCGACCCTCTATGGTCTCGATTCGTACTCGACTCTCTTTGGTCTCGGTCTCGACTCGGACTCGACTCTCTTTGGTCTCAGTCTTGACTCGGACTTGACTCTCTTTGGTCTCGACTCGGACTCAACTCTCTTTGGTCTCGGTCTCGACTCGGACTCGACTCTCTATGGTCTTGGTCTCGACTCTCTTTGGTCTTGGTCTCGACTCTCTTTGGTCTCGGTCTCGACTCGGACTCGACTCTCTTTGGTCTCGGACTCGACTCTCTTTGGTCTCGACTCGGACTCGACTCTCTTCGGTGTCGGTCTCGACTCGGACTCGACTCTCTTTGGTCTCGGTCTCGACTCGGACTCGACTCTCTATGGTCTTGGTCTCGACTCTCTTTGGTCTTGGTCTCGACTCTCTTTGGTCTCGGTCTCGACTCGGACTCGACTCTCTTTGGTCTCGGACTCGACTCTCTTTTGGTCTCGACTCGGACTCGACTCTCTTCGGTGTCGGTCTCGACTCGGACTCGACTCTCTTTGGTCTCGGTCTCGACTCGGACTCGACTCTCTATGGTCTCGGTCTCGACTCGGACTTGACTCTTTGGTCTCGGTCTCCACACAGATTTGACTCTCTTTGGTCTCGGTCTTGACTCGGACTCGAATCTCTTTGGTCTCGGTCTCGACTCGGACTCGACTCTCTTTGGTCTCGGTCTCGACTCGGACTCGACTCTCTTTGGTGTCGGTCTCGACTCGGACTCGACTGTCTTTGGTCTCGGTCTCGACTCGGACTCGACTGTCTTTGGTCTCGGTCTCGACTCGGACTCGACTCTCTTTGGTCTCGGACTCGACTCTCTTTGGTCTCGGTCTCGGTCTCGACTCGACTCTCTTTGGTGTCGGTTTCGACTCGGACTCGACTGTCTTTGGTCTCGGTCTTGACTCTGATTTGGATTGGTCTAGGATTGGTAACGATTGAAACGATCTTAAAACAGGGCTTTAAGCGTGAAATACAGAACTTGTCCTTTAACTAATCTAGAGCAAGAGTCTGAAGACAATCAGACCATCGGTTAAAGCTAGCTAAGTGTAAGTCTAAGTGTGACACATTAGCGACTTATGCTAAGTTAGGGCATCCAACTCCCATGCTAATTATTGATGGTTTAAGCTCTGCTTTAATTGGTGCCGTGACCCAGATGGACCCAATACTCTGGCCAAGCATTCGAAAAAGTTTTGCGCCTTATCATTCATGAGAGCTCATTTGAAGAATAAAGTGTTTGCCATTAAACTCCTTTAACACCTCCAGTGGCGTAATCACACCCTTTTATTGGCTATCTGTCACCTACGGTTCCCACTGTGAAACTCCCTCTAGGCAAGGAGACGTGTGAGACTGAGATTATTTTTAAAAAATATTTTTTTCAGCTGCCTACATTCTTCAGTGGTCTAAATAGAGGACTCCACTGCCTCGTCACAACATCTGTTATTACCTCAGATTATCCGATCAAGACAGTTCCTAAACAGAAAGAATTATTATTAGGCTCAATGACATGACATGCATATTTTTGTGTCCAAGTGCATTATTTACCTCTAAAATAATTAGATAAATGCATGACATAAACTGTATCACTTTATTCTATAAATCCTATTTAGTTCATTTTACATTTAAATAATACATACAGTATTTTATGTTTTATCTTAAACCCCCAAAATGTCCGATGGCGGAACTGTCCGATCAAATGAACAGACTAAGAAAATGATTCAAAATGACATCTTAATAATAAAAAATTGCAACATTTATTATATAAAACATTTGCAAAAATGTGGGGGAAAAAAACCTTCATTAGCATTATATGTGGTTAATAAGTAACATTTAAAATAATTTAAAAAATCCATGCAACTTTTTTTTTCACAGTTAGTCAAATCTTTGGTTTGAATTTACTTTTACAACATTTTTAAAGCACAGTATCTTCTAGTGTCACAATCTTCTATTTCACCAACCAATAACAATGAACTCTTAATCAGTCTGCAAATCCAGTCAAATCCCCCCCCCCCCCCCCCCCAAAAAAAGCCATATATACACACTTCAAACCTCCACCACATAACAGTTAGTCACAGTCCCAATAAAAAGCAGCAATTCTGCTGTGATTCATCCCTCTATTACAGCCTCCGTCCCAGCGGCCTTGAACACACAAGCTGCAAAAGAATCGTTCATAAAGGGTGAGAAATGACAAAATGTCACTCTGATAATGCACTGTAACCTTCCCCAGTGGGATAAAGAGCTGAACAGCCGTAGCCTGCAGACACACGCTCAAAACAGTTATGTGAGGACAGGGGAATTATCTGAACACTAAACAATAAACAACAGCAGAGAAATCTCATACTGTGAGCTGCAGCTCATATTAACCCTGCAGGGAAATGATATTAAAGATTCATAAGGCTCTTAGTCTTAGCAGGCTGATGGAGGGACATTCACAGGGCGTCTGTGTGGCCCTCAGGCACTGGAGCCACAAATATATTACCAATCAGACTCTACAAGTCACCACATGACCTCCACACACACACATTTTTGTTAAATACAGCAGTTCAGCTCTGTGATGTTGAAGGTTATCCCCCTAAAAGTCCCTCAATAGGGAACATGAACAGTCAATTTCTCTCAAGAGCACCAAAGTTCAACAGGCTAAAAGAAAAACACACACTGAAGCACATTGTGTATTTAAATAAAAAGGCAGCTTTCTAATAACTATCCTAAACCATCTGGGGAATCTGAGGGGTGTTTCAACAAGAAAGGTCTTTCTCAAAGACAAACACAAAAAGGAATGTGTCCTTGAGACGTATTCACAGGATTCGCTCATTTCACAGGAAAATGATCAAGACAGTAGTTTTTTTTTTTTTTTCCCGAGCCTTAGCCTTGGTTGCTGGGCAACACATTTCAAGGCAGTCTCTTTGGAAAATGAAAGCAAATTATTATTTTAATTCAAGAAATAAGATGGATCTCCATTTAAAAAACAAAAAAAAAAAAACAATTGCATTTATCTCCAGTAAATGGGAAAACACTCTTCTCTACAGTTATCTTACAAAAGTGAACAAACATGACTTTTAATTTAAACATTTGTTAATATTATTATTGCATATGACATGCATAAACAGCAGAAGTATGACTGTGTTTGGTCATTTGAATATCAGTCTTGAGTAATTCACAAAACATGGATTTACGGTTGGCACACACTGTATTCAGGGAGGTCTGGTATTTGTAATTTTGTGTAGTTTTGTTCATTGGTTTTAAGGAAGAGGGTGTTGACATTAGCCTAATTTGATTTTAAAATACAAGCGAGTTTAATTTTCTCTCCAGACTGTGTAATGTAAATGCATGGTGGGTTAGTATCGCATGTTGTCTTTATTTTTTTATTTATTTAAAGGGACTCTCGATATATCAAGCAGCACAGTCTTTGTTGTGGGTGCATAAAGAATGCAATCGCTGGTGCAGTTGTTAGTTTATCTCTATAGGGGGCGGCAGTGACACAGCCTGATTCTCAGGGACAGAGCAATTAAAATCAGCACTGACTAATGCCATTTTCCACAGGCAACTGAATTAATAGCAATTTCAGGGGTTTAGCTTGATGAACCGCTGCAGTCAGTGTTTTAAATGAAATCTGAGCACTCGCATCTAAACCTGAAAATGAGGAATCACAGGAATTGTGCAATAATGAGATCTAGACAGCTAGAGGAAAGTTCAAATCTAATCAAACAGAGAGAGAAGGAGAGCAAGAGAGAGCCTATTTAATTTGTCTACTATGAATGTCCAACAGTTCATAACAGCATTTCTTAATCTATATAAACGAATGTATGAAAGCGTGTTTCCACCATTAAATAAAAAAGGAAGAAAAAAAAAAAAACTTTTTCTCTCAGAATTGAACTTGAATTAAACTTTGCAGAATTAAACTTGCACTTTCATGTTATAAAGTCAGAATTGCGAGATGTAAACTTTAAATTCCCTGGCGGAAATATATTT